AAAAAAAAAAAAAAAAAAAAAGAAGCACAATCTTTATTCCCCCAGTGTAGGGACAGATATGAAAATAGATGAATATATGACATATAAGGTAATAGTAAATACTCAAAAGAAACATGAAGTAGAGGAAGGGGATAAAGGATGCTATTTTATGTGAAGAGGCAAGAGAAATTTGCCATATCTTACCAAATGATATGGTAATATTTGGGCAGAGACTCGAAGAAGCACAATATTAAGTCATTGTAGGTACTGGGAGGAAGCCCGCTCCAGATAGAGGAAGCCAGACCTTCAAGGGCAAGACAGCTATGTGTTGGCTGTGTTTGAGGAGCAGCCCCAGAGGCCAGTGACTGGAGCAGTGAGAGCAGAGGGGTACGTGGGTGGGAGATGAGATCAAAGAGGCAGGAGTGGGAAAGAGTGGGTCAGTTTATATACTGTCTGCCACACAGGCCATGGGAAATCTTTTCATTCTAAGAGAAGTTATTAGAAGGCTGTGACACCTAGAAATGGCTTGATGCAGCTTACGTTTTTGTTTTGTTTTTGTTTGAGATGGAGTCTTGCTGTGTCGCCCAGGCTGGAGTGCAGTGGCATGATCTTGGCTCACAGCAACCTCTGCCTCCTGGATTCAAGTGATTCTCGGGTGTCAGCCTCCCAAGTATCTGGGATTACAGGCACCCACCACTACGCCTGACTAATTTTTGTATTTTAGTAGAGACAGTGTTTCACCATGTTGGCCAGGCTGGTCTGGAAATCCTGACCTCAAGTGATCCTCCCACCTTGGCCTCCCAATGTGCTAGGATTACAGGCTGAGCCACTGCACCTAACTTTGATGCAATATATGTTTTAAAAGGATTACCCTACCTGCTTAGTAGGAGGCAAGGTTAGAAGCAGAGTGGCTGTTTAGCAGGTTTGTGTAGTAGACTGGTTGAGATACATTGATGGCTCAGAGACTACTGAAATGTTATCAGTGGCAGTGGAAGGAAGTGGTGGCTTGAAATCTTTTCAAGGAAGAGTTACCAGGATCCAGTCTTGGAATATAAGAAAAAAAGAAGTCATGCTTTTTAGGGAAAGCCTGTGGAAGAATGGGCTTTGTAATTACTGAAATGGGGAACGAGTAGATTTGGGGGTTGCAAAGTCAAGGGTGGGTTTGCTTATGTTAAATTTCAGGTGCTTATTGGACACAGCATAGATGTCATGCAGGCAGTTCAGTATAGAAGTCTGGAACTGCGAGGTCAGATCAGCATTGGAGGGAAACTTAGAGAGCCTTCAATATAGAGATACAGAGTTTTCTGACTGGATGAAACACCAGAATAAATATAGCAAGGACAGAAACTAGAAGCACCCTAATACCCAGAGGTTTACAGCAGGAGAACATATGGCAAGGAAATGTAGGCTGAGCACACAGCAGGATAGAAGGTAAACTCAGGAAGAAGAGTACCAAGAAGATATGACCATGAAGATTAGATAGGTAGGTAACAGTTTCTACGTACATGTTCGCATATAATTCTGTTTTTTCCTTTAGTGCAGTTCAAGTATTTATACTTTCATATTTAGGCTGTTTTCTAATCAATGCTTGTTTGTAAAAGCACCATTCTTTATGCCTACATGCATTCTTTATGTAAAAGCACAACTTTATACATATAAATTTTTCTGTTTTTGCTTAGGATAGATTTTCAGACACAAGGTATTTCTGAAGGTTTCAGACACTCACAATGTGTTTGGTAGTATTCTTCATTGTACTTTTTAAGAATGGTTAATTTTTATTTTAAATAAATATTTTGCCTCATTTATTTGACAAGTCATAGAATGTTGTTTTTCATTGTGAAAATTTTCACAAATATGTGCCACTCATCTACCCCTATTGTCATGCAAATATTTTCTTTTTTTTTGTTTTGTTTTTGAAATGGAGTTTTGTTATTTTTAGCCAGGCTGGAGTGCAATGGCACGATCTTGGCTCACTGCAACCTTTGCCACCTGGGTTCAAGCAATTCTCTTGCCTCAGCTTCCAGAGTAGCTGGGATTACAGGCGCCCACCACCATGCCTGGCTAATTTTTTTTGTATTTTTAGTAGAGACAGGGTTTCACCATGTTGGCCAGGCTGGTGTTGAGCTCCTGACCAGGTCATTCACCTGCCTTGGCCTTCCAAAGTGTGGGGATTACAGGTGTTTGAAAATATTTGCTGCATCCAGCAGCAAATATTTTCAAAGAAATCCAAAACTTCATGTCATTTTGCCCTTGCATAATTTCATTATGTAATTCTTAAAAAATATGGACATTTTCTCCCTTATGTAACTTTAATGCAAAGTTATATAAATGTTACAGTGATTTCTTGGTATATTGGACTGCTTTATTGTCATTATATTGAGTAGTTGTGAGAGTGAACATTTTCACCATAGTGTGATAATTATCTTTAACTTGTTCATTCATATGTTTTACATTTTAAATCTATTACTGTGTTTATTCTTTCAGTTTTTGTGGACTTTGCAAAATAATAACATTTACCTGTCTATTGGTTTCCATCGGGTGCTTTTACTTTTTTTAAAAAAACAAGGTCTCACTCTTGCCCAGGCTGGAGTGCAGTGGCATGATCATGGCTCACTGCAGTCTTGACCACTTCCTGGGATCATGTGATCCTCCCACCTCACCCTCCTGGGTAGATGAGACTACAGGCACATGCCACCACACCTGGCTAATTTTTTGTGTTTTTTATAGAGACTGGGTTTTGCCACGTTGCCCAGGCTGGTCTGAAACTCCTGGGCTCAAGTGATCCCCTGGCTTCAGCCTCTGAAAGTACTGGGATTACAGGCGTGAGCCACTGTTCCCAACCTAGCTTCCTAATTTTTTAGTATTTTTGAGATACAGTATAGCTCTGTTGTCCAGGCTGTAGTGCAATGGCATGATCTCAGTTCACTGCAATCTCTACCTCCAAGATTGAAGTGATTCTTGTTCCTTAGCTTCCTGAGTTATGGGGATTCCAGGCATGTGCCATCACACCCCGCTGATTTTTGTATTTTTAGTAGAGACAGGATTTTGCCATGTTGGCCAGGCTGGTCTCTAATTCCAGGCTTCAAGTTATCCTCCCACCCAAGCCTCCCAAAGTGTTGGGATAACAGGAGTGAGCCACCTCACCCAGCCCAGTTGTCTGATTTTAACTTTTCTTCAACACTTGTGTTTGTTTACAATTGCACCAGCAGCGTATGAACGTTCCCATTGTTGCACATGCTTCCTAGTGTACAATATTGTCAAACTTGGATTTTTATTAATTGTTGAATGTATAATAATAATTTGGTGTGGTTTTAATTTGCATTTCCTTATTTTTTTTCTTTTTTTTTTTTTT